GACAACGACTATACGAAAAAGACTACGAGACAATGCATGTTAAGCGGCCTAAGGGATGTATTAACATGGGCCTCTGTTGTCCACGTTTCTTTTTACTCTATTTTTCTTCTTTGTGTTCACGTTTTTTGGTATCTCTTGCATTCTACACGTTTTAAGTGTAAGCACTAGAGAGCTTTAAAGAAAACAACCACCTTGTATCTGTTATACGTTTCATGTGCCAAATTTAGGTCTTGATTGTTTTCTACTGGTACATGTTAGTTTGGGTCATCTGGTTACTAGACGTATGGTCCACATTGTTAGAAAACTTATTACTTGCCATATATAATTATTTGCCATAAGAATTTGTCGACTCCAAAAATTAGTCTTAAGACTATGAAGTTACAATAAACTGGACACCTAATAGGCTAATATCAATAGGAAAACTTTGGATCATGGCTTTAACTACAATTGTTGCAAACTATTAATGTTTTTCCTCCATCTTCCATATGCAAATCTATATATAATAGGAAACCGTTTTTTTGAGATTGATGATGTCACAATTTTTTATCAAAGAAAAAAAACTCATCCAATGGTTCTTACTTTTTTTTTGTTGATCAAACTCATCCAGTGATTCTTATTTAACATTAGAAATTGATCCCTCATTTCAACGGCTTAGATTTTTTTGGAGGAGATGCTATTGAACGATCGTTTACTTGGTATTGACGGCCCCCTCGCACAGGGGCGGTTCTAGAATATTTTTTTCGTGGGTGCATAAATCGTAGAAAATTCAAAAAAAATGCTTTAAGAGTGATTTGAACTCAGGATGATAGGGTGCGTTAGTGGAATTTTGTCTTCCCATCTAACAAATCCTTTATGGTTTTTGGTACAAAATTTCTTATTTTAATATTTCAGTGGGTGCACGTGCCCCCATATCCAATAGACTGGATCCGCCCCTGCCCTCGCATCTTTTCAATTGTTTATAAATATTTGATTATGGGGTTTTAGTTTCGTCTCTCAAATTGGTGTCTTATTTCAAAACCATCTTTTTATTAAAATCTATTTTACTTATTTCGATTGAACATGAATTTAGGCGTGGATATA